CCACCACTTCCAGTATATGGGGCTGGTACCCTACTCCTTGAGCCACAGGTGCTGCCCAAAACTAAATAACATTTTGATGTACTTAGAAATTCCCAATACCTTCAGTGGTATGGACATGTGTTGAATACAGTAAATTGATTAGGAGATGAAGCTTTGTGGTATAACTTTACAGAATGTGATGGCATGTTTTAGGGAAGTAAGCACATTTGAGAAGTGAATTTTATTTTAGTTGGAAGAAAAACAAGTCAGCCTGGCATTATGAGCTCACTCCTGTAATCCCAGCATTTTGGGGAAGTTAAGGCAAAAGGATTGCTTAAACCAAGGAGTTTGAGATTATAGTGAACTACAGTACTGTACCTATTCAAGCCTGGGATACAGAGTAAGGCACAGTCTGAAGCAGTGAAATCTACTTATGGGTTAAAAAAAAAAAAAGAAATGCAAGTCTAGTCCTTTTTCAGTCCTCATCTCACTGTACCTATTTAACCAGTGTTCTTCCTTGAAACATGTTTACTTTGCATCCCATTTGCTGTATGTTTCTAGCATTTTCTTCTACTTCATTTAAGTACTCTGTTGTTCAGTCATTCCACATCTCTTTTCTGTGTATACTCCTTTAGGTCATTTCATTCAGTCTCATGACTTCATATACCACCCGTAAGCTATGATTCCCACACAGTAATAGCCTCATCAGCTTAAAAGTACAGACCCGGGCTTCTGTGATTCTTACTTAGACCAGTTAGTTAGACCAGTACGCTGTTGCCTTCTTCACTTAATGAGATTCCAGTTTTCCTTTTTTTTTTTTTAGACCGTTTCACTATGTTGCCCTCACTAGAATGCTGTGGCATCACATCTTACAGCAACCTCAAACTCTTGGGCTCAAGCAATTGATTCTCTTGCCTCAGCCTCCCGAGTGGCTGGGACTATAGGCACCCAACTATTTTTAGAGACTGGGGTTTCCCTATGCAACCTGTGAGTTCAGGCAGTCCACCTGCCTTGGCGTCCTGGAGTGCTAGGATGACAGGCGACAGCCACCACATCTATCCGAGACTGCAGTTTTCATGGCACAAAGGGTGAAGATTTTGGCTAGATGTCTTTGACTTTTTTTTCCTTGTACCTGATCTTTGGCTTTTAAGAAAATGTCTCATCAGGTTTACTTTTTTTGCAGTTTTTGGCCGGGGCTGGGTTTGAACCCCCCACCTTTGGCATATGGGGCCATCGCCCGACCCCTTTGAGCCACAGGTGCCACCTTTTTTTTGTTGTTGTTTAAAGAGTCTCATTTTTGTCACCCTCGGTAGAGTGCTGTGACATCGCAGCTTACAGCAACCTTCAGCTCTTGGGCTTAGGCAATTCTCTTGCCTTAGCCT